AAACGCAGGCGAAGTGGAAGGAGACAGTCACAAAAGGCCACACAGTGCAGGGTTATATGGAAATGTTCACGGAAGGCAACCTCACAGAGACAGAAAGGAGCTGAGGGGTTGTCAGGGGCTCGAAAGAGGAGAAAATCAAGAGTGACCGCTGATGGGGGGGGATGAAAACATTTAGGAATTAGCAGTGATGGTCAGATACCTTGTGAAAAGAGGAGAAAATCAAGAGTGACCGCTGATGGGGGGGATGAAAACATTTAGGAATTAGCAGTGATATATTAAAAACCACTGAATCACATCCTTTGAAGAGGAGATCTTTGTAGCATGTGAATTAAGTCTCAATTTACGAGCAAAGACCAAAAACTTGGGGTCAAATACAGAGTCCTTCTGTGTGGCCCCACCAGCTGGCTTCCGTTCTCTGGGCCTTGGTTCCTCCTCCCAGGGGACCGTCGCTCGGGCTGGCCCGGGCTGAGATGGAGGCCACACATGGCTCGTCACTCCCACGTGTGCCTCTGTTCCTAATCAGAGGGCAGGGAGCTGTTAGAACACAGCTGGGCTCTGGCGTCGGATCTGAGCACAAATTCGGGCCCCACCGCTTGCTAGCTGTGAACTCTCTCCTTGCCTCAGTTTCCTTGTCTGTGAAATGGGGATGATGATGGTGGTCTCTTCTAAGTGTTGCTGTGGGAGACGATGAAATAGTGAACATAAAATACAAGACACAAGTCTAGCATGGGTTTCTTCTTCTTCTTCTTCTTCTTCTCCCCCCCCCTCCTCCTCCTCCCCCTCCTCCTCCTCTTCCTCCTCCTCCTTCCTTTTTCTTCATCATCATCATTATTATTGTGGTGGTTGTCATTGTAGCCATTTAGTCTCTCCCATTTTTTCCTTCTTCCTCTCCACCCCTCTCTTCCCATCCAGCCCAGGATTTCCCAGTTGCCTCACAGTCTACCTGTCTGGCCCGAGTGGTGGTCTGGACTCAGCTTTGAAGACCTGGCCTCCTGGCCCGCTCTTGCCTCCCTCCTCACTCACAGGGTCCAGACTCGCCAGCCCTGCATCAGGCGCTCGGATAAATGCTCTCATCCTTCTCTCCAGCTCCCGGGACAAGATGGGGTGCTGACCTGCTCCCACCCAAGGACACAGATGGCAGGATGCTCCCGGGAGGCTTCCGTAAGGCTCGCAGCCAGATGCTCAGAGAGAAATCAGGGGCCCATGTGAGCCCTCTCCCCGGGGGTCCCCCTACCTTTGCTGAAAAGAGGAAGCTCTAAGGCAGCTGCCCCGGGCGGGACTTTCTCTTTGCAAAAGCCCAGACTCTCTACTTCTAGGAATTGGCCCACCAGACGCCCTCCCCAGGGGCTGTGCTGGAGGAGGGTTATTGCCATGGTTGAAGGTCTGGGGAAACCCAAAGTGTCCATCAGTAGGGACTGGCCACACACAACTCGGCCCGCCCGTGCAGTGGAAAAGCACAGGCCACTGGGAGCTATGGAGCTAAACATACTTTAGGGAACTGATCCCAAGTGAAAAAAAACACGGTACAAAGCAGTATTAGGTATGTGCTGCCCTCCCCCGCCCTCCCTCGCTCCCTCTCTCTCCTTTTCTTCCATTTCTCTCAAAGGAACACCTTCACAGGTGCGCTTGCATATGCATAGACCAGCGGTTCTCAACCTGTGGGTCGCGACCCCTGTGGCGGTCGAACGACCCTTTCACAGGGGTCGCCTAAGACCATCCTGCATATCAGATATTTACATTACAATTCATAACAGTAGCAACATTACAGTTATGAAGTAGCCACGAAAATAATTTTATGGTTGGGTCACAACCCGAGGAACTGTATTTAAAGGGCCAGAAGGTGGAGAACCACTGGCATAGACTGTTCTGAAGGAGAAATCCTTAAGCCTGTTTGCCTCTGAGGCAGGGAAATGAAACAGGGTTGTGGGGGGGTGCGGGGTGAGAGTCGGTCAGAGGCGGGACCACGCCTTTCCAGCCCACCCTTTTGGTGCTGCGTGAATTTCACATTTTATCCCTTAGAATAGGCCAGTTACGTGCGTGGAAAAGATCACATCCTACCGAAGGGTATTTATTTGGTGGGAACTAAGTCCCCCCTCCTCTGATCCCCTCCCCTCCCCGCACCCCTTCCCCTGTTTCCTTCCTCAGGGGTCACAATGCGGCCAACTGTGTATCTTTCCAGACACACACTGTGCATTGGTGTAAATGCACGTTCGTACGTAATTACGTACATTTTTATTGTGGTGAAATATATACATGACAAAGTTGACCGTTTCGACCATTTCTAAGTACAGTTCAGCGGCACTGAGCGCGTTCACACTGCGGTACAGCCATCACCGCCATCCATCCCAGAGCTTTGCCATCTTCCCAAGCTGGAACTCTGTCCCCAGGAAGCACGAACCCCCGCCCCCCTCCCCAGCCCCGGCACCCACCGTTCTGCTGTCTCTATGGACTCCATGACCCTAGGACCTCATGGAGGTGGAATCACGCAGGATCTGTCTTTGCACCGGGCTTGTTTCACTCAGCATGATGGTCCCCAGGTTCATCCATGCTGTCGGCTGTGTCAGAATTTCTTCCCTTTTCAGGCTGAATAATAGGCCGTTGCATGGATTTACCACGTTTTTAAAATCTATTCCTCTCCCGATGGACATTTGGTTGATTCCACCTTTATAGACTTTTGTTTTTGTCTTCACTGGAGGATATTTTTCCACTGATTTTTAGAGAGTGGAAGGGAGGGGGAGAGACAGAGAGAGAAACATCGATGGGAGAGAGACACATCGATTGGTTGCCTCCCACACTCGGGGCGAGCCTGCAACCGAGGTACGTGCCCTTGACTGGAATCGAACCCTGGACCCTTCAGTCCGCGGGCTGATGCTCTATCCACTGAGCCAAACTGGCTAGGGCGCTATCCTTTTTAATTGAAAAAAAAGAATTTAAACAAAAGGAGAAGGAAGTCTGGGGGGAAGAGGACTTGTTCTGGGAGCTTCCCGCGAAGCGCAGCGAGCACAGAACGTTCCCGCCCCATCGAGCATGTGCAGGCGAAACATCCCCTTGACCGGCACCTGCCGGTGCTTCCCCGCCTTCACCCGAGAGGAACTCCCCTTTCCTTTCTTTGAAAGCTGCCCCTGCATCCTGCCTGGGAGCTCAGGGCGCCCCGAATGCAGTGCCTGCCTCTTGTCCAACTCCAGGGGCGCCCAGGGCCCTGGGGAGCAGAGGTCGGCCGGCGACACTGTGGCTCACCCAGGGGAAGGGGTGATGGTGGCAGAGGCCGAGGCAGCAGGAAGGGCCTAGGGCCCTGGGAGTCGCTGGGGACACGGGCGCTCTCCGGGGGGAAGCACCTGAGCCTACCCCCTGGAGGGCCTCAGCCCTGGAGGGCCCCGCGTAAGAAACCCCCATTTCAGACGAAGAGCCTTAGACCAGTTCTCTGTCTGCATTTGCACTCCTCCCAACACAGCCCACTCTTCAAAGAGGACTTCCACATTCAGAAATGTTTCCTCTTTTCTCCTCATGTTTTCATTAGGGAACATTTATATATATATTTTTTTTATTGATATTTTTACAGGGAGGAAGGGAGAGGGATAGAAAGTTAGAAACATTGGTGAGAGAGAAGCATCGATCAGCTGCCTCCTGCACGCCCCGACTGGGGTGCCCGCAACAACCAAGGTACATGCCCTTGACTGGAATCGAACCTGCAACCCTTCAGTTCGCAGGATAACACTCTATCCACTGAGCCAAACCGGTCAGGGCTCATTAGGGAACATTTTAAAACAAAAGTTGTTGGAGTAGCTCAGTGATTCCAGCCACCACCTACCTGCAGCATTGTTAACATCTTTCATATTTGTTTTGTCTCTCCCTTTCTCTCTATGGGATATTAATATACCCACACACACATACACACATGTCCAATATATGTACATGCATATATGTTCACATATATGCGTGCCTGAACACATGATGTGCACATAGGCATACATGTGCACATGTTATACAATATGCATGCACTTATGCATATATGTATGTACATATATACACAATACACCTACACATTCATCTACACATACACATTTCCTCTGAACATGAACTCTTTGAAGATAAGGGCATCATGACCTTCATCCTTAAATACTTTAGCATCTCTTGGAACAAGGACATTCTCCTATATACTTTCTAAGTCTTTTTAAAAATATATATTTTTATTGATTTTAGAGAGGAGCGGAGAGGAGAAAGAGATAGAAACATCAATGACCAGAGAGAATTATCAATCGGCTGCCTCCTGCACGCCCCACACTGGGGATCGAGCCCGCAAGCCTGGCATGTGCCCTAACTGGGAATTGAACCGTGACCTCCTGGTTCATAGGTCGACGCTCAACCACTGAGCCACACCAGCCGGGCTTAACATTTGTAATAGAGTGTGTTCTCTACCATGTGGTAAAGCTTTAGGGCTATTCATATGAGAGTGCTTAGCCTAAAGTCTTGACATTTTCCCCCAAGAAGAACTTCGGTTCTGCTTTAGAAGTTTCACGTAAGTTAAAATCTTCATCAAATGTCACTACGAGGGAGGCGACGACACAGGACACCACACAGACGGGCCAGTGACCAGTTTGTATATCTAGAAACTACTCCTCCAAGGTATTTGCACCGGGGAGCCTAGCCTGTCCTGCTGGATTGTACAGGTCCGAGTCGCCTGAACCTCGGCCAGACCTTAATATTTCAGAGTTATTAACAGCTGCCTCTAGGGCAAGTCCAGGTGGCTGGGTTATGACAAATGCATTGTCACGGAGGAAAACAAGGGTAGTCAACCATCTTTAAGAATGCCCCCACCACTGCCTCTCTCGTTTGTCACGCACCAAATCCCACCTCTGTCCCCTGAAATTCCCCTGGTTTCATTCATTAGAAGGGGATTTAAAAGACAAAGACGTAAAGAGCACTTTACATGAGCACTCAGCTTCCCCGTGAAATACTCAGCACCTTAAGTGTCCCCTCCACGTTCTTTCTTCTTCTTCTAGTACCTTAGACGCTGGCTTCGGAGTTTGTGGCACGTGTGGAGGTGGAGGAATAACAGCCCATTCAGAGCTACGCTGTGAGCGGCTGCTTTCGTATCGCTCAGCAATAGAATCCAGGTGTGTCCGTGAGGACTTCCCCAACCGCCCTTACAGATGCCCCACGACACGTCTCCCGCCTTTTCCCTTTCCCGGCGTGTGAGACCCAAGGAAAGCCCTGGTGTCCTGCTGGAGCCCTGAGCCCGCTCTGTATCCCAGCCATCCTCCCACGGGCTGCTCTGCCAGGGAGATGGCGTGCCGTGAGCATCAGGGTTGTGGTGTTTAAATTCCTCCTGCAGTTGCTGTCCTGGTTGCTTTTTATCCTGTTTCCCGGCAGAGTTGTCACCTGCTTCGACCACTTGATTCTAGTTTTGTTTGTCTTTTTAAATACATTTTATTGATTTTTTTACAGAGAGGAAGGGAGAGGGATAGAGAGTTAGAAACATCGATGAGAGAGAAACAAGGATCAGCTGCCTCCTGCACACCTCCTACTGGGGATGTGCCCGCAACCAAGGTACATGCCCTTGACCGGAATCGAACCTGGGACCTTTCAGTCCGCAGGCCGACGCTCTATCCACTGAGCCAAAGCAGCTAGGGCTGTTTGTTTGTCTTCCTTCTGCTGGTGATCTCTTCCATCCTTCCCGAGCAGGACACAGGCGTCACAGGTGCCCCCTGCAACGCAAAACGGCCCTGGAAGTCCTCCTCAGAGCGCTCGCTGCCAGCGGGTGGAGGCCTTCTGCACTTCTCGGCACCTGTGGCTTGTGAAAACCAAGCATCTTCTCTTGTGGACACTAGTCTTCGAAAATCATCCCTCCTCAACTGCCTCGGCTGGAAAGTTTGTCTCCTGCAGGTCTGCAGCTGCTGCCGCTGCCCAGGAAGGTGTAGATGCCACTTTCCCTCCGGAGGTTTCTCCCTGCCCCACCCCCTTGACCACATCACTCACCAGAGCGGTACGTTCGTTACCATCAGACACGGCACAGCACAGTCCCTCACGGTCCATCGTCTACGTTGGGGTCACTCTTGGTGTTGTACATTCTGTGGCGTGTCTCCGTCACGATGGTATCACACGGGGTAGTTTCACTGCCTTAAAAAGCCCCTGTGCTCCTCCTGTCCATCCCTCTCTCCACCCCGCATCCCTGGCAACCACCGATCTTTTTGCTGTTTCCATAGTTTCATCCAGAATGTCCCACAGTTGGCATCAGGCCATATGCAGCCTCTTCAGATGGGCTTCTTTCACTTAGTACTATGCGCCTGTGGTCCCTCCGTGTCTTTTCATGGCTCGATCACTCATTTCTTTTCAGCATTAAGTACTAATGCCGTTACCTGGGTGCACCACGGTTTCCTGACCCATTCATCTACTGAAGGACGCTTCTAAGTTTTGACGATTATGAATAAAACTGCTACCGTGTAGGTTTTCGTGTGGACATAAGTGTTCAGCTCCTTTGGGTAAATGCCAAGGGCCGTGATCTCCGGATTGCATGGTAAGAGTACGATTAGTTTTGTAAGAAGCCACCAACCGTCTTCCACAGTGGCTGGGCCATTCGCCTTCCCACCGGCAGCGAAGGAGAGTTCCTGTGGCTCCACAGCCTCCCCAGCATTTGGAGTTGTCCGTGTTGCCGATCGTGGCCGTTCCGATAGGTGTGCAGTGGTACCTCGTTGTTGTTTTAACTTGCCTTTCCCCGATGACAGAGGATGTGGAGCATCTTTTCATTTGCTTTTGTTTTCTTTTTTATTGGCAAAATATACACGACATCCAATGTACCATTTTAACCATGTTTAGGTGTATAATTCTGTGGCATTCAATACACTCATATTCTTGTGCAACCATCCCCATCAACCATCTCCAAAACTTGTTCATCTTCCCGAACTGAAGCTCTGTATCCATCCCCTAATAACTCCTCATCCCCTCCTCCCTCCAGCCCCTGGCAACCACCATGCTGTCTCTGTGAACTGATGACTCTAGGGCCCTCTCGGATGTGGGCTCACAGGGTGTCTGTCTGCTGTGACGGGCTTTGGGTCACACCTTCGACAAGAGGTTTTCCCAGGTGATGCTGTGGGCTTCCGATGCAAACCATCAGGAGGCCTGCCCGCCTCTCCCCTCAGCTGCCCGCCGCTCCCCACCCACTCTGCCCCAGCTGCTCAGCCTCCCACCCGCCAGGGCCTTCGCACACGCCCTTTGCTCCCCAGCAGAATCCTTCGTATCTTCTGGATTTCGGCTTCAGTGTCACCCCCTCGTAGATGCTTCCCTGTGTACCCCCAGCCTCTTCCCCATAGTCACCTTCTCTGTTTCATTTTCTTTATGACGCTCGTGACAACCGGACATGACCATGTTTGCTAGTGGTTTGTCTGTTTGTCGTCTGTCTCCAAGGTAAACGCCATGGAGCAGGGGCCTGTCCCCACTGTGACCCCAGGTCATGGGCCGGGTCATGTGGCCGGGTTTCAGGCAGCACACTTCTGTCTCCGGCACCCCATCTCCTGTCTGCGTCTGACCCACGGTGACTCCAGGGGGCCATTCAGATCATCCAGGAACTCTCTCTACTTGACTGGCCTCAAACACACTGCAAAGTCCCCCCCTTTTTAAAAAATATATTTTATTGATTTTTTACAGGGAGGAAGGGAGAGGGATAGAGAGTTAGAAACATCAATGAGAGAGAAACACTGATCAGCTGCCTCCTGCATACTCCCCACAGGGGATGTGCCCGCAACCAAGGTACATGCCCTTGACTGGAATCGAACCCGGGACCCTTGAGTCCACAGGCTGACGCTCTATCCACTGAGCCAAACCGGTCAGGGCTACAAAGCCCTTTTGAAATGCAAGGTCACAGTCACAGGTTTCGGGAATTAGAAAGTGGGCAGGTTTTTTGTTTGTTTGTTTTTAGGGGGGGCATTATTCTGACTGCTAGAGGACTCCGTAAATACTTGTGGAATGAATGATAAATGAACGGGCGGCTCCCTTTATGAATGGAATGCTGAGTTCTGAATCCCAGGCCTGGCTTAGCCACTCCCTGGCTGTGAGCCCTTGGGCCAGTCCTCTTTCTCTGAGCTTCTGTTTCCTGCTTCATTAGCTGTCCCCCAAGCACCCACTGTGTACCCCACTCTTGTTAGACACTGGGGATGCCGAGACAAGGAAAGGAGACCCCTGCCTTCCGAGAGGCTGGCTTCTGGGGAGGGGCCTGGGATGGGAAAACCTGACAGTCTTCTCAGGCCCACATTTAGGCCACCTCAGAGAACTGTCAAGTCAGAGTGGGTGGGCCTACCTAGCAGGTGACATTTCAAAGGGCTCTTGACGCATGAGTAGGAGTTTATGCGGTAGAGAAGTGGAAAGGGCATGGACGGCCTGGGACAGGCCACTGACCTCTTTGAGGAACTGGGAGGAGTGTGGCTGGAGCCCAGTGGGGGTGGAGACATGTCTGGAAACGAGGCCTTGAAGGCCACGGTCAAGAGCTTTGGCTCTGCCCTCAGCTCATGGGACCACAGCAGGTCTTTGAAGCACAAGAGAGACATGTGCAGTTTGGCATCTAGGCCACCACCAGGTAGAGAGGGGGTTGAGGGTCTAGGGTCCCAGCCTGAGATGGAGGTGGCCTGGACTGGGCAGGGACATTGGGGATGGAGAGAAGAGGACAGCTCAGCCGGCGTGGCTCAATGGTTGAGCGTCGACCTATGAACCAGGAGGTCAAGGTTCAATTCCTGGTCAGGGCACATGGCCGGGTTTCGGGCTCCATCCCAAGTATGGGGCGTGCAGGAGGCAGCCAATCCATGACTCTCTCTCATCATTAATGTTTCTGTCTCTCTCTCCCTCCCTCTCCCTTTCTCTCTGTAATCAATACACACACACACACAGACACACATATATTTATTTATTTAAAGAGAGAGAAAGAGAACAGAGCTGAGATTTAGGAAGTGGGAAGTGGGCCAGGGTGAGAGGTTGAGAGGGCGGGTGAGGAAGAGCTCAGAGGCGGCTGCGGGGGAGACGGGCGAGATGGAAACGTGTGTGGGAGCCCCTTGCAACTGTTGAGCAGCCCACGAGCTGGCCCAGGTCAGGACTTTGTGAGAACCCCGAGGAGAGGCTGAGAAGCAGCCCGGTGGACTCGCAGGCCTCTCCCTGGAAGAGAGATGAGTCGTGACCGCCAAGGGCACAAGATGGCCTCAGTCTGCTGAGGGCTGGGGCCGTTTAGCGCCCGTCCACATTCTCGCATCATTTACCAACAAACACGGCGGCTCCCAGGTCGGGCTGTGGCACCATCTCCCCATTTCCAGAGACACACGGGGACGTGAGCAGGGACACATGTGATGGACCTCGGGGGCCCGGCTCACGGGGGATTTTGCAAGTCTCTGGAGACCCAGAGGGTGGAGGGTGGGGGTCCCCTCTGATGGTTTCCAGCCACAGAAAATTTCCTCCAATCTGGAGGAAGCGGGAGTTCTTCTTTCAGAACGTCAGTGTCAATCTTCTTTGCTCACCGGTGACTAAGAGTGGCTGAGGCTGTGGGTGTAGACAGCGCTTAAATAGCAGACCTGGTTGTCTTCCGGCGAGAGCAGACACCTGGCTGGGACACAGGACAGGAGCATGGCCGGCCTGCAGACCCCGCTTCTGGCTGCCCTCCTGCTCCTTGCTCTGGCTCCTCAAGCAACCGAAGCAGGTGAGGCTGGGGAGAGGGAGGGCTCCCTGCAGAAGCCTGGGTTGCACCCTGGGCATCTTCCTCGTGGAGTGGAAAGACACGGGACTGAGGGCAGACACCCCAGTCTGCCGCTGGCTCTTGAACTCGTTCCATTGCTTCTCTGAGCCTCCGCTTACACATCTGTTAAATGGGTCGTCTTGGAGGCTTGAGTGCAGAATCGGTCTCAGCAGGGTTGGGGGTATGGTAGGCATGGTCCAGGGTCCTCTACTCCAGAGAACTGGAGCATAGGGCCCTTGGGGTGTGGAGAAGGTGCGCTGAAGACAGGCGCCTGGGGTGGAGGACAGGAGCTGAGGCCTGGGATATTCCCATGGAAAGGTAGCTGGCCCTGCCTCCCACCTCCCCATTTTTGCTCCAGAACCTGCCCTGGGATCCTGACTTCTTTTTTTCTTTTTTTAATTTTTCTTTTTTTAAAAAAATTTCTTTGGGAGAGGGAGAGGGAGGGGGAGAGGGAGAGGGAGAGGGAGAGATAGAAACATCAATGATGAGAGAGAATCATGGATCGGCTGCCTCCTGCACGCCCCACACTGGGGATCGAACCCGCAACTGGGGCATGTGCCCTGACCGGGAATGGAACTGTGACCTCCTGGTTCATAGGTCGACGCTCAACCACTGAGCCTCGCCTGGGATCCTGTCTTTTTCACGCCAATGTACCCGCTCCTGCCCGGTGTGGGTAGGGGAGGAGCACCGGACGGGAGTCGGGCAGCGAGGAACAGTGCTGCTCAGGGATGGGGTTCCTGTGCGTTCCCTGCCGTAGAGGCCCCCAGAGCCAGCGCTGTTATTACCCCCTCGGTCAGAGGAGGAAGTTGGGCCTCAGAGGCGTGAAATGACTTCCCTCAGGGGCGGGTGACTCAGGGCAGAGTGGGCCTCGAACCTTGTCTCCAAGGTCGTGCTGTGCGACTGGGGCAAGTCCTCCCCCTCTCTGGAGTCAGCCTCTCCACGGGCTCCACTGGAGGGAGGGGTTAGCATGGCTGTGCACTGAGCAGGCTTCTGCATTCCCCGGGTCCGCACTGCCCGTCTGGCTCAGCAGAGCTGGTGGACAGCATCCCATGGCTCCCGGGTGATGCTGACGCCCATGGGGACCTCGCCTTGAAGAGCAAGGCCCCTGTTCAGAGGCTCTGGGT